AATGCCTATGGCGTGTTGTTCGAATGAGCGATTGGATTTGTAGATTCGCTTGGGTGGGACTGCTGGTTCAAGCTGTCGTCAGCTTGCCCGCAGGATCGTAGTCCATTGCCTGGTGATTGATGTGTCGTTTGCGATCTCTTACGAGCGAGTTTTCGTTTGCCACGAAGATTCGACCTTGATTGATGGTGTGGGCGGATCTCGTCAGCACTAGATACAGCTAAGGGCTCGTTACGAGCTTTCTTCTCGGCAGTATTATCAACCGACCTCTTACTGGAGCGCTGTTTTTTCGCAACTCTTCCGGTCCGCACAGGTTTTTCTGTTTCAGCTTCAACGGCTACTGAACGGCGCTTGCGTCGCGTTATGACTTGTGTGTCTGTGCTCCTCTCAAGCACTGTCGAACCGCGCTTGCTCCGCGTCGAGACTTGTATATCTTCGGCATTTTCAACTACTGTGGGGCCTCCCTGGCTTCCCGCTGGGGGTGCATGGCGATTTTCATCATCAACCGATATATCTCGTGAAGACGATACTGGTGACGCATTACCATCGCTGTCTACATTCGAATCACCACCAAGAAATCTGCTAACACAGCGGGGGAAAACGTAGCGCGGATTTTGCTCGAAATATCCATGCTTTCGATAGTAGTAGATATGGTATACCGCCTTATCCAGAGCCGCGTCTTCCGCTTTTGGGTTTAGTTTGTGCATAGAGCCTCGATCGGCCAGAAGCCGGGGCCCAAAGCGTTCGCGGTCGCATGGCTCGCAGCGGCACCATGAGCAGTACTCCATGAATATGTGCGTCTCGTTCCCTTCGCTTGAGGTTGAGCCTTGAGAAATGAAGGGACGGAAAGCGAAAAACAGCCCCCTTCCTCGAGTACCGTGGCAAACAAGAAAAACTGTACTACGACAGACACAATCGCCTATTGGTGATTGGCTAAAAAGTTACAGGTCAAAAATAGCCTCTATGGATATGAGGGAGTCATAGGGTTAAGATACATATTGTCGGTCAAATTGGGTTTCTCACAGTACTTTATTGAACTATTTGTTGAGTTGTCGAATGAGGCCGCGATTTAACTCGACTAACCACCAATTCCAATAATGAACCAACTCTTTCATATTTCCTCGATAAGCCGCAATGTGTGTGTGTGTGTGTTTTTTTTTTTTTTTACTTTATAGCAAGCCCCTCACATTGTGGGCAATATGTACAGGGTACTTCGTCAAACTCAAATTTTTCCCAACGTAGCTACTAAGTATTAACGAACCACACCAAATTAGTTACGAAATATAAATAAGTTATCGCCATAAAAATCTCTGTTTTCAGCCCCTGAAAACGGTTGTATATTTTTGAAGGTGCATCTGCAAATGGTTTGCTTCTTGTCCTCAAACCCTGTATTTTTATCATTGTTTTCGCGAAGAATGCAACGTTTAGTGGTTAATTAACTCTCCGAACCCAAGGGCCTTTATTGGAAATGGACATTGTTAGGTTTTAAGATCATCGCTCAGTTCTTAGTAAACAAACGCTCCATCTCGCAGGACCAAATGTGGGGCTTCGCACATCGATAGAGCCAACAACTCGCGCAGCATTATCATGCACAACCTCGTTTTTTGCGGTTCAAATGGTGCCTGTTGACTAGCTCAGGTAAACGGCCACGCTAGCCCTAGCGTCGTGTCCAAGCTCTTGTCGTTAAAGGGAATCTTCGATTCCCCAAAATCTGCCGTGTCGAGAGCCGCCCGTGCTTCGTCGGTGAGTTGTTCCCACATGATGAGATCTTGATACTGGCCGTCTTGTCGCGCAAAATCTAACGCCAGCCAGTCAAACTTGTCCACATACGTGTGTGAAACTCTGGTGGATACGTTCGAGCCGCCAACATAGGTGTAGTTATAGCTCCACCGACTAATTCGATTTTGTCGAATTTCCTGGGTGCCTACAAACCCCATTGGAGGAATCTCGGTCATCTTTTTGTATGGCTCTTTCTCGCTTGCCATCTTAAAGCCCAAAATCCGTCGCGACTCCAGAAGTTGTTGTGACAATGACGCACCAAGAATCTTTGGTGCCTCCAAAGCTGGATTGTCCAGCCACAGCACCATACTAGCCCAGTCGTGGCGGATCCGTGCTTGGCTAGAGAAAAAGCCTTTCGGAAAGTAAAAAAAAATATTGATTCTTACTGAGACCCAGTACTTGTACAACTCCAATAGAGCAAAAAAAAAAACAACCTGAAAACGGAGATTGAGGATGATGATGGTATTATTGCATTGGCAACTCCTGAGCCACATATTTTATCTTCGGCATTATACGACCGCAGTCATCACGATTGCCTTGATTTCCTCGACCATCACTAGTTCCATATCCAATTGAGCACGAGCAGATACCTTGACTGTAATCGCAGTAGCCTCTGTTGGAGCAAACTGCGTTCTCCTTCGTGCCTTTTTGACTTACCATACCACCTATCGCAACCCCATTGTCCGCGGTGACAAAGCTAACTGATCCACTCAATGCAATAAGTCCGGTCGTCTCCGCTCTTATCGGTGGAATGTCACCGTGGTCAATTGGGAAGTTGACGGTGATAATATTGTCTGCTGATCCTGGGGTCGAGCAGGCTTTCGTTCCCGACGAGTATTCCACAACAGGATCTTCAAAGCCAAAGGAATTCATGAGGATATATCGAAGATCATCGGACGTGGCGTCAAATGGAATGTCGACCGAGGTTGACGTGCGATACTGAAGACGGAATATTCCTCCTGTCGCAGTGCATTTAAGTAGTTGGAGCTCGTCGACTTGATCCGTTGTGACGGGATCGTCACCCTTTAAGCAAGATCCTATTCAAGCACGATAGTAAAGATCGCTTGAAGAAGAAAAAAAGACTATAACCTAAAACCAATCACACACTGATAACTCACTTTTGCTACAGTCGTAGCCTTCGTAACCTGGATCGCATTTGCAGCCCAGAATGTTGTCACGATCGAATGTATGTATGTTGTTTGGATCCGAGCCGTAGTCAAAAACCAGCGACGGTGCATCAACATCTGCTTCTAGCGACAACTGGCGGATGGTCATGCACTGCCCGTGACCACTACAAACAGGATCCCCAGGACATTTCACTGTAAATTGCAGGGGGGGGATCAGAACTAAACTCTATCATCGCTAACATTACCATACTTACTGTACTCGCATGCAGCACCTTCGAACGGGGTGTAACAGGAGCATTGGCCAGTGGTACGATCGCAAATACCTGCATCAGAACACTCTGACCACTGGTTATGCACGGTGTTACTTGCTGACGGAGAGGTGAACCACGATGGCCCTGACGGACATTTTCCTGCGGGCACGATAAATTTTAGTGTCATGTCGGAGATCTGCTCTGTAGGTACAGATTTCGTACGCGACGAACAATCTCCAGTCGACCATCCTCTCTCGCAAATGCACTTGTAAGATGGTGAACCAGTGCAGTAGCCATGTCCGCTACAAGCAAGTTCGCCCACGCAGGCTGAAATCGGCCCGCCGTACAGATTTTTGTCGTTGGCGCATCCACAATCGCCTCGGGTCCCAGGATTTCCATAGCCATCACTGGACCGGTACCCCGGCATGGGGTTGGTAAAACATTTACATTGGCCCGTTTCTATAGTCATCACGAATTGATAAGAAACAGTTGAATATTCATCCTTCAAACTCAACAGATCAATACCAACCGAAGCTGCAGTCTCCTCGGTTGCTGCAGAATTCCCACTCCTTGGTGCCTTGAACAGACGTTCTTCCACCTAAAATACCACCCGCAGAAGTCGCGAACACGCTACCACCCGTAAGGTAAACGACACCCTTGAGCATCCCTAAAACTTTGATCGGAGATTGTCTAAATTCACATCGAACACAGGATCAGATATCAGTATCCTCGATCTTCCACATACCCCCACTTACGGTCCAAAGTCTTGAATGAATTCGATCATGATGGGGTTTGCTGCCGTGCTACTACAAACGGTTGTTGCTGTACCACCGAACGTGACTTTAACGACCGGAAGTGACTTGAGTGTAGTGAAAATCTTTTCGAGACTCTCCAGTGTCGTGTCGAATGGTATTTCCACGCTTTGTCCTTTAAAGAAAAGGAAAAACGATCCTCCTGTCCCAGTGCACTGCACAATCTGTACTTCGTTCTTTTGCCCAGTTGTCATCGGGTCATCTCCACGTGGACACGATTCTAAAAAGTCAAAGAAATCTAAGAACTCAAACCCGAATACTAACAACAGTGAAAGTTCATACTTAACGAGCAGTCGTAGCCGTGATAGCCTTTGCTGCACTTGCACCCGTATATCGTATCTGCATCCCACGCGTCGTACAAAGGCTCTGTGCCCACCGCAAACAGTGCCGACAGATCTCTAAGCGACATACATTGCCCTACGTCATTACAGTCATTGGGACACTCCACTGGGGCAAGCACAGAGTCAGCGGGTTACTTGACGTCTATAGGATCTAAGAGTACGTACACCGTTGACATGCGGAGCCTATGAATCCTTCGTCACATGTGCATTTGCCTTCTTTGTGGTCACACACGCCCTTGTTTGAGCACTCGACAAGGTAGTGGGCGTCGTCCATCGCTCGCGCAGGAGCCACCCATGCTGGCCCCAGCGGACAGCGTTCTACCCGTACAAAGAGCATCAGCAAAATATAATGCATGGTGTATGGACCAATCTCCACTCACCCTGCGAGCAGTCAAATCCGAAGTGTCTCGCATCGCACTCGCACAAGTTGCGCGTGTTGCAGGTCCCGTGTCCCGAACAGATCTTGCTATTGTACACGCCGCGAGCACAGGCCGCATCTGCGGTATCTCTTCCCAGCAGTAGCGTTCCAACTAGCAGCGGAATCCACCATATCCTAGCTATGGAGAACATCGCTCCTGAGTGCTGACAGAAATATCCGTGAAACCAGCGACTTCACGACGTCGTAATCAATTTCGATTACTTTTCGTGTACACCACATTATTTATGTCAGAAACGTAATTCCATTCAGGCGACCTTCGGACGACCATGCTCCAGCGACATCCGTAAAAAGTATTCGTAAGAAATCCATACCTTTTCGACCAATAAGATGACCACATTACACTGAGTGGCCGCAACAAAGATTTACCAAAGCGTACTGCATCGGGGGAGTGGATCGATCCCTCGTGTCTCTCTGTGTATCTACAGCCCCAATCTGCCACCATGTCGATGGTCTTTGACGAGTACGGTCGCCCCTTCATCATCCTGCGCGACCAGGAGCAGAAGGAGCGCATCAAGGGCGTGGAGGCCATCAAGAGCAACATCTTGGCGGCTCGTACCGTGTCGAGTCTGCTGCGTACATCGCTGGGCCCTCGTGGCATGGACAAAATGATGGTCAGTCAGGACGGCGACGTCACCATCTCCAACGACGGCGCCACTATCTTGGAGCAGATGCAGGTCGAACACCGCGTAGCTCATCTGCTCGTGGAGCTCAGTAAGTCGCAGGACGATGAGATCGGCGACGGCACCACCGGCGTCGTCGTGCTGGCCGGTGCGCTGTTAGAACAGGCTGAGAAGCTTCTAGCGCACGGACTGCACCCCATGCGAATCGCCGACGGCTTCGAAGAGGCCTGTGAGATCGCCTGCAAGCATCTCGAGGCCATCGGCGACGTGATCCACTTCTCGGAGGAGGACTCGACGCCGCTTGTGGAGACAGCCATGACCACTCTGTCCTCCAAGATCGTGAACAAATACAAGCGTCAGATGGCTCAGATCGCCGTCGATGCCGTGATGAAAGTCGCTAACTTCGAGACGCGCGACGTCAACTTCGACCTGATCAAGATGGAGGGCAAACCGGGCGGAACTCTGGGCGAGACGGCGTTAATCAACGGAATTGTGATCGACAAGGACTTCTCTCATCCTCAGATGCCTAAAGAGGTCAAGGACGCCAAGATGTGCATCTTGACGTGTCCGTTTGAGCCTCCTAAGCCCAAGACTAAGCACAAAGTGGACATCACCAGTGTGGAGGCCTACGAGAAGCTCTACAAACAGGAACAGGAGTACTTTACCACCATGATCAAGCAGGTTAAGGACAGCGGTGCCAACCTGGTTATCTGCCAATGGGGATTCGATGACGAGGCCAACCACTTGCTGCTACAGAACCAGCTCCCGGCTGTGCGCTGGGTGGGCGGCGTGGAGCTGGAGCTCATCGCTATTGCTACTGGAGGACGCATTGTCCCGCGGTTCTCAGAGCTCACGGCAGAGAAACTCGGCCACGCTGGCACTGTGCGTGAAGTGGCGTTCGGTACCACCAAGGAGCGTATGCTGGTGATTGAGGACTGTGCGAGCTCGGACGCCATCACTGTACTGGTGCGTGGTGGCAACAAGATGATCGTGGAAGAAGCCAAGCGCTCGCTGCACGACGCCATGTGTGTGACGCGCAATCTGATCAAGAACAACCGCATTGTGTACGGTGGAGGTGCTGCCGAGATCGCTTGTGGTATTGCTGTGCGTGAGCATGCTGACAACACGACGGGCATTGAGCAGTACGCTATCCGTGGCTTTGCTGATGCGTTGGAGGACGTTCCGATGGCTCTGGCGGAGAACAGTGGACTGAACCCCATCGACTCGCTCTCGGCCGTGCGCGCGCAGCAGATCGCCGAGAAGAACCCGCGACTTGGAATTGACTGCAACTCATCGGGCACGAACGACATGAAGGAGCAGCAGGTGTTCGAGACGCTTATCGGCAAGCAGCAGCAGCTGCAGTTGGCGACGCAGGTCGTGCGAATGATCCTAAAGATCGATGATGTCATTATTGAAGGCTCGTACGCGTAGGCTAGGACCAAACAGCGTCGCGAGTTGATACAGTGACAGAAAAACAAATGGAAGGTTTTAGTTTATAGTCAGTTTTTGTGTCTCAATGCTTTGGTATTCGCGTTTATTAGTACTTGAGTCACAGTTCCAGATCCAAGCGCCAGGTCTAGTGAGAGCGACACTAGTCTTTTAGACAAATGTCGCTCTTTTAGTGTAAGCCTTCCAGCCTTCCCAGTCCCTCGTTGTAGCCCCTACTGAAGAACTAAAAGAAAAAGATCAATCAATACGTGCCGTAGTACATTCATTGTTCGTATTGTGGGAGAATCAACTACAGCATTACGAGTCAGAAAGTATTCGAGTGCAACCATTGTGAACTTGTGATCGACCGCGACGTGAACGCAGCGCGAAATATCTTTCTCAAGAATGAAGAGCTACTCACTTGGGTTCCGACCCAAGTGCCCGGAGATGCCTACTCCGAGGTCGTTAGGTACGCATGAGCTTGCTCTCGTGTATCGACCCGAAACAAAAAACAATATGTATCCAAGAATTCATGATGGTACTTTAGTATATCATGATAACTTAGGAATATATTGAGGCGTAATACATTCAACAAAAATATACAAGGGTGACTTCGTGTCCTGATCATATCCGCTTGAGACACGTTTTGATAAGGACCCACTTGGCCGCGATGCATTGTCCAAATAACCACAACGCACGAAGCAGGTGTGCAACCACATTGAAAAAGATAAAACTATCCTCATCGACTCAAACCTCAGGTCTTCAACTACAGTGACCTGTTAAGGTGCGAACTCGTAAGTTAACATTCTAAAGGGATTAAAGCATCTTCCAATGATCAAACTAAGTTACAACCTCCAGTTGCAGATCATCAGACGGAAAAGGAGCGAGCAGAACGAACCAACTGGGGTCCCTATTACAAAAGGCACGAGTAATTGTTGCTATAGCTACAATTCGGAAGATGAAATTGGAGCGGGCCCTTAAGCTGAAAGATCAGTGTGATCGAGAGCTTCGCACTATCTGTGAAGCAAAGCGCCGTCACTATCTTCCACGATCGACTTTGGACAGCCATGATGAGCTCCAACTGCTCGAGCAGGACAGGACAAATGAGACTGTGATCCGAGGTGGTGTATCTGATACCATACTTCAAGCTAAGCTCTGACTTACTCATCTGTTCATGAATTACAGACAAGCGTGAGCTCGAGCGTTTGATGCGAAAGCTCTCCCCAGCATTGAGCCACTTTACGTCGACAGAGGCCGAGTTTGTCCATGCTCTCCAAGGCTGCTCTGCGTGCAGCAATCGATTGGCCTTTTGTGCATCGTGCACTGAGAAGGCGTCAGAGTTTTTCAATGGTTTCTCATCTGCTGAGCTACTTTCTCTGTACGGAACGGATTTACCGCCTGCCAACGAAACAGAACTAGCGAGTTTTATTGAAGCCGCCAATTCCCGTGAAGCTCGAGCTATTCGCAATGAATACAGTGATAGTTAGCACTACGTATCTGTGTGCGTTCTGTTAGCATTCTACTGCTTACTTCGTGGGCACTGGAAACGGAATGCTATCGTGTTAACATCAAGAAGGGATACATATCACCTGAAAGAACGTCTGTGGCTCGAGCTGGAGCCGAAAGAACGTCAACTCTTGGAGATAGACAGCTTTCCGAGTAGCGATGCCTTCTTTGTGAAGTATAATGTGCTACGTTCTCCATAAAAAAAAAATGCTGCGCGAATGGAAAATTTCATTTCTTGAGCTAAGAAAAAAGTAGCTTCTTCAAGTAGCGTAATACTAGCCGTTGCAGTTTATCGACTGTCAGTGAGAGATTTCAGGAAAACGGACACGACCGAGGAATTTGGTGTTCTGCATAAAGACACGAAGAGCATCATCGCATGCTGTCCGCTAAGCAAAGCATTCGATGAAACTTAGGTATATATTGAGGCGCTAAGCAATTCCATGCCATTTTCGATTTCTCAACGCATCGAATCAATCAAAATTTCGCTTGTACGAAATGAAGGCCAAATCTGAGCAACGTGATGATGGCAGCTTCATGCGAATCGACGTCATTTCCATGTTGAAGCTGTTGCTAGTCTCTGGCATCGCTATCACGTTTCTCGCTCTCTTTGTACTGATCGGCTTCGGTGGATCGCCTGCAGTAGCCAACTCCGACTGGACGAGCAGTCCAACACGCTGCACGTCGGACTTCTCCATCAGTCTGTATAAGGAATGCCTCGGCCCCAACAGTACGACCACAGTTAACGACACTGACACTAACGGAACAGTCTCTGCTATCGACGAGGTTCTGAGTCTCTCATCCAGCGAGCAAAGGTCCGTCCTAACTTGCATGTTCGACTCGTGCACGAACCGAACGAACCGTCCATTTGCCAGCAACGAACAAAGCCTTCAAGTCGTGCACTACTCGTTCGGCCTCAACGGATTGAAGCAACTTAACCGCTACTTCTACCTAGAAGCCTCGTTCCCAAACTTGAAGAAGACAACTCGGTCTTTTGACGTCACCATGACTCCGCATGTCAAAGGGTTCTACCTCAACGAGAGCAGCGGCAATCAAACGTACGCGAACATCATCACTAATGTCGTGCAAAAGACTGTCACTGTTGAGTGTGATAAGGGTGAAGCTTACTGTGAACCGGCCTATTTCCTACGATTTGGAGATATTGACTTCAACGACTACCAAGTGGACGTGTTGTTTAACTCTACTGAGAGCTTGGCATTGAACGGGTCCAACGTTCAATTCCGCAAGACGTGGGGCACCGAATCGTTCACCACATGGCTCATTGGTATGAAATTTTTCTTCCTGTTCGTGTCGGGATTCTTCGCAGGTTGGTACATCTACAACGTCAACAAGCTGTCGTCACGTGAACAGAACGTGGAACAAGGGTTCGTCGTGGCTCTTGTGCTGTCGCTGATCCTTTTTAACGACCCCTTTTACTTCACCGAGGCCACGTACGGCAGCAACGCGGCTCGGATTCTCAGCGTCGGGTTCCAAGTGACGTTCTTCCAGATGCTGCTACTGTTCTGGTTAGTCGTCATTGACAATTTACGTCTTCAAGGAATGGAAAACGGCGTGTCGAATGTGAAATTCTTCGGTCCCAAGCTGATCTTCGTGGCGTTTTTCTGGCTGATCATGGCGATGTACTATGGATACATCAAGTACAACCGCAACAACGACGTCACGTGGGATCCTCTAGCGGAGAACAACACATTTGCGTCTCTCAAAGCGCTTTGTGGACTGTTTAGCGCCATCTTCATCGTCTGGTTCGTAGCTCTTATCGTCATGAGTTTCCGTGAGATTCGAGCTCGTCGTGTGAGGTATCGCTATCTGACCATCTTGAGCGTCTTGATGGTCGTCGTATCATTCGCTGGTCTTGGAAGTGGAGAGCTCTCGCCCACTCCTCTAAGTGGTGGAGCATGGACGTCACTCCAGACAATTTTCAACGTCTACGTGTACACATTATGCTATCTGTACGCTCCATCGACTACGACACTTGATAACTTACGCAAGCGCAAACAACACAACGGAGGGGAAGAGCCCGAGATCAAGGCTTTGAGTAGTAGCAAAGCTGTCGAACCTGCTCAGGTAGAACTGGCAGGAGTCAACGAGACTCGCGAGACGGATCTAGCATAAGGAATAACAATCTTAACAATGAACTTACACATCTCGTGCCCATCTATTCCTTATTCAAGGCCAGTCTATTCTACTTCTCAGCACGGAGACGCTTGGACGGGTCACTGATATCCATCGAGCGTTTACGGTTCTTGGACTTCTCGTTCAGTGGCGCTAGTTCGTGATGCACAGACAGATTCTTGGCCAGTAGGAAGGCTACTTCCATGCTCTGCGAGTAGTTTAGCCGAGGGTCGCAGTAGCTCGTGTAGCGCAGCGGTAGGTCGCCTTCGTCAATACCCTGCGGGCCTCCAATACACTCAGTAACGTTCTCTCCTGTCAGCTCAAAGTGGACGCCACCAAGTGCCGATCCAGCCTCACGGTGGATCTCCAGTGTCTGCTCTAACTCGCCGAAAATGCGGTCGAACGGTCTGGTCTTGTAGCCGTTCTCAGCCACAATAGTGTTGCCGTGACACGGGTCACATGACCAGATCACCTTGAGACCTGCAGCTTTCACTGCCGCGATGTGTTTAGGGAGTAGATCGGACACCTTATCGCAACCGTAACGCGTGATTAGAGTGATCTTACCCGGATTGGCCTCCGGGTCCTTCCACAGCTTACGGATCAACGGCACCAGGTCGTCCACAGCCATACTGGGTCCAACCTTGATACCAATAGGGTTCTCAATACCCCGGAAGTACTCGATATGAGCGTGATCCAGTTGACGTGTACGGTCGCCAATCCACAGGAAGTCCGTACCCACGTTGTAGTACTTCCCGTCCACCTTTCGCGTCATGGTCTCTTCATATCCGAGCTCCAGACCTTCGTGTGACACAAAGAGATCCACTGTCTTGAGATGCGGTGAGTCAGCAACGCCACACATGTGCACGAAGTGGAGACTGTCCGTGATCTCGTTCACCATGTGCTGGTACTCTTCACGGCGCGACGAGGTCTGTACGAAGTCCAGATCCCACTTACCGGCGTCGTGGATATCCGCAAAGCCCGAGCTCACCAACACGCGACCGTAATTCAACGTGGCTGCGCTGTGGAAATATCCTTCCAGCAGTCGGTTCGGGTCCGGAGTGCGCTGGTCCTTCTCGTATCCATTGATATTTTCGCCTCTGAAGCTCGTCACCCTCTCTCCATCCAGCATCTCCGTGTCACTGGATCGAGGCTTGGCGAACTGCCCAGCCATACGCGCTACCCGAACCGTGGGCATACGCGCTCCCCAGATCAGCACGAGACTCATCTGGATCATGATCTTGAGCTTCTTCTCGATCAACGCCGGTTGACAATCCTGGAACCTCTCGGCGCAGTCACCACCCTGCAGCAAGAAGCGCTTGCCATCCGCCACGTCCGCCAACTGCGTCTTTAAGTCCTCGATCTCACGCACAGACACTAGGCCAGGCAGCGTCTTCACTGTATTATTGGCAGAATTAATAGTGAGCATTGACAAATTGACGCATTTTGACACATTTTGGTACATTTTGGAGCTTACACTTGTCATGAGCCTGCTTGAGTGCCTTCTCATCAGGGTACGGGGCTTGCTGCTTAGCGGGGAATTGGCGCCATGATGAAGGGGTCCACTCTGGAGTCGTCATAGTTGTCTGATCCTGGTGGTAATGCTCGTGACGTTTGGCGGACACTTGGACAAATGACGACCAGAGGCTGACGTACCTGACAAATCGTGTGGTGCACATTATACTGGTGTTGCCACAAGAAGTTTCTGCGCATCAACATGATGATGCCAAAAACTCATATTGAATGCAAGTGAAAAATACTGACATCGGAGCCATTGACAAGCTACACCATGGGCAAGCATCGAGGTCGCGGATCGACCGCTAAGCGGCCTGCAGCGCCCAAAGGAGACGCGCTGGTGGTCGTGAACCCATCCATGCTACACTCTGCAGCTCGTACGACCCCGAAACCACAGCAGAACGGGAAAAAGAAGCAGCAGAACCAACCCAAGAAACGTAAGGCAAACAAAGACGGATCTGATGGACCTAAGACGACGCAGAAGAAGCGTAAGAAGACGCAGGAGGACAAGGCGATTGTCAGCAATGTGAAAGTGTCCAGTGCAGCTAAATTGTCGCGCGAGGAGGGCGGTGGTGCGTCCTGTACCGTGCTCCGAGTCAAGAAAGACGTCGACTTGTTGGCTGGACTCTACTGGGTCTTGTTGTCCCGCAACACGCCGCGTCCCTGCGTGGTGGCATTACCCAACCATGATGAGACGTCTCCCGCCCAATTAGCTGCTATGCTTAAGCATCTCGGACTTCAAACATTGGCGCTGCACCGCAAGATGACGGCGGGACAGCGGAACGAAACAGTGCAGAGACTCAAGACTTCGGTATCTGTAGCGTCTCCGCTGCACGCAATGGTGCTGGTGACAACGGAGCAATTGCTACCGAGTACAGCGAATGCAAAGGCGGATGTGGCGCTGGTTGGAGCTTTGAGCAGTGCTACAGTTGACGTGGCTACGTCGAAGTTCGCTCATGTCCACCACATAATATCTGCTGGACAAGAGCTGGAGAGCTCGAATGCGTTTCGACCGGAGATCACGACGCCGTGCTTGCAGCAATTACAAGCGCGGTTGAAGCTGGCTCGACAGATTGTGGATATTTCGCAGCGTGTTAGTAAGACAGGAGCTCAGGACGATGAGAAATGGGCACGGAAACTCGCGAAAGGAGCGGATCTGGATGATGAAGACGACGGACACAAGAAGAAACGCGCGATGACTCCGGATGAACAGAGACTGCAGGCGTTAACGGAGAAACTCTACGTGGTGCTTACCCGTAAACTACCCGGTGCCAAAGCGCATAACACCAGTAATTCAACCACTGACCACCAGGAGACTGATCGTCAGCACCGTCGCGAGAAGCTGGAAGTGCTGGGTCTGGTCACTGTGAACGCTGCTGTGGGAACAGCCATGACCGACGAACGCACTTCCGCTCAGACTCGATGGATGGACTTTGCAGAGGGCAGAACACACGGAGGTCAATGGGAAGGAGCTGTTCGTCATGGAGCATCGAAGGACGCGACGTCGCTTATAGTCCGTAAGAAATACTGTGCAGCTCGTGATAAAGCCAGGAACTCGAGCTTCTTGAGCAAATGGACGCCTAATAAGGAGCCCGTGGACACTGAGAAGTGGGGTGGGGCGTTCGGTAAGGTCTGCGGACATAACGAAGTGGTGATGAATGAGCTGCGAGCGTTTTATCCCCAGGAAGTTTTAAACTCGAAAGTCTGCAGCAAACTCTTCCCAGCACCTGGTAATCAGGGCTTTGACGGTTGTCTGGAGCATTTGAGGTATGCCTGCATGACCCAAGTAACCAGTATGACTGTCTGGGACGCCGAGTACTTCGTCTTCATCTCATCAAGCGGACGTGTTACTTGGTGCAAGAAGAATCAACTGTTGTCGCTGTCCCTGGCGAGTCTGCAGTGTCTCGTTCCAGCGCTTCGCAGTTGGACTGCAGCCTGCGGTGGCCACATGCCTGTTAACTCCGTTCTTCGCGCGATCCAGCTCTGTTGTCAGCTCGGCAGTGGCGATAAACGTCCGACGGATAACAAACTGCCACCTAAGACACTCAAGCGCATCATGAGCTTCACGTTTGGCGGTTCAGCCAGACTTTGGCGTCAAATCGCGAAGCTGTCGACGCTAGAAGAGGAAACTGTGTACGATTCCCAGTAACTGGGAGAATAGAGAGCAATAGAAGAGACGAGAGAGCGACTTATTTACTTACTTTCTGCTGGTTGCCGTCCAAACTCGCACGGATAAAAAGGAAGGGATCTATAATCGTGTCCTAGACCCCGTCTCGACTTCCTGTGGCTCCTCCACTCGATCTGCTACTGCAGACATTAGGGTCTGGCTGTCTCCTATAGGTTCCTGCGCACGTGAGAGTGACACTTTGTAGCCATTGCTGTGTCCATTGAGTGCACTGCCGTTCATTTGTGCTGCATGCTTCTGCAACACCAGTTTTTCCTGTACGGGATCGAACACGAGCCAGTCGTCGGGCCGCGGGATCGTTCGGTTGGCATGCTGCATCTTCACTTGCTTTAGCTTAGCTAAAGCTTCGTTGCACGCGTCGTTATCCACAGGTGGAGACGGTGGAACATCGTCCAAATATCCGTCATCTTCGTCGCCATCCAGCTCTCGAGCTTCATCTTCTGACAGCAACTCGGGCACGTCTGGCTCGGAGAAGACGAAAGGTAAACTACCACCGGAAAACGAGGTTAGTAAGGCAATAACGCAGTCAAAAATCAGTTCTATAGTGCACTTACTATGACGGGAGCACCTCGAACAATTGGCGATATATCCAGCGTCCTGATAGCACGTCAAGCAGCAGCGGCCAGCCCCGGTCGAGTAGTCCCCAGTGCTTGGCGGCGTAGACGACGATATACGCGCCTAGAAGATGCAGCGTGGGCACGTGCACACGCACCAGTGGAAGACGCGTGTGGTGCATGTTTATCTCTTCACGCAAGGTCTCCTGGAACGAGAAATGCGGGTACATTTCGCACACGTCGAGAGCGTTGGAGTATGCCTCGCCGAGCAGGTTTACTAGCACGCCGACGCCTGCCGCCAAGTACACGACGAGCCACGGAGCGCGGCGCGCGGCGTCCAGATAGTCCATCGTCTTGAGCACGCGCTCCGACTTATAAGAGCGCGGTGAGTTCAACAGGTGCGGAGATGTCGAGCGCTTGCAGGTGACGTGGAGATGCCGATGGATGTTCCCACCGAACGACGCCGTTGGAGCTGTTACAGGGAACCAGAAAAACGGTACACATGGAAGGGCTTTTCGACCAATGAGAGTGATTACAGTTGAAGATAAGTTCAAAAAGGCTGAGTCAGAATAAATCACACGAAGGCAAGTAAAAAACACTTATGAAACGGAATAATTTCATGTTGTCGCTTCATCCGACTCCCTTAAAGCAACACGTTCTGGCGACAATGTGATGTTGGTTAAGAACCCAACCAGTTGCTCTTACTTACGCTAAAGTTTTTCACTACGTGTCGGTGCAAACCATCGAATGCACTAAATATCTTGCCGACATCTTTTTTTTTTTTAATGTTTCTAGGAGTTGCTGATTTTAAATAAGACTACCACTACATGTACTCAACGCAATTCTGTCACACTGGTCTGACATCGGCATGTGCCAGCAGAACCAACCACCTCAACCATTGAGGTTTTACCTAGATGTGCTGAAATCACCGCATCGACTCCAGCATCGACACGTACGCTATGAAACTTGCTTGGAAAGATATTCTGACCCGCTTTCTTGGCCAATTAATGATGTACAGCGATGCACTGTAAGCCACGGGGTATTTTTTTTTTTTTGGCGATCTTCATGCTATTTTTTGTCTCGTTGTTGATGGCTCCGTTTCTGTCCACAATGGATCGTTTAATCGAGTTGTGTAGACCACACACTGCAACAAACGGTTCATTTTGTACGCACTACAGTAGCCTAGCCCTCTCTTGGTCGTACATTATTCGGTCGTACATAAGCTTACAAACTGCAAGTGAGAAGCAAGAAGATGATTCTTTTGGTGCGGACAAGAAAATTTCAGCCAATACGAAGGCGCTAAATAAATATCTACAAATCACATCGTGCCGCTTGGAACTTTGGTACGTCCACTCTCCTCATGGTCGTACAAATCAGGGCCATAACAGCCAAGTTGCCCTTGCCGCCGGTCTCAATTTGGCAGCGATCATTCTTGGATTTCCCTCGACACCCTCAAGTGAAACCCGAAGCACAATGGCTGACCAGCTGACCGAAGAGCAGATTGCTGAGTTCAAGGAGGCGTTCTCCCTGTTCGACAAGGACGGCGATGGAACCATCACCACCAAGGAGCTCGGCACGGTCATGCGCTCTCTGGGCCAGAACCCCACGGAGGCTGAGCTACAGGACATGATCAACGAGGTCGACGCTGACGGCAACGGCACGATTGACTTCCCCGAGTTCCTGACCATGATGGCCCGCAAGATGAAGGACACTGACTCCGAGGAGGAGATCCTGGAGGCCTTCAAGGTGTTCGACAAGGACGGCAATGGATTCATCTCGGCCGCCGAGCTGCGCCACATCATGACCAACCTGGGTGAGAAGCTTACCGACGAGGAGGTCGACGAGATGATCCGCGAGGCTGACATCGACGGCGATGGACAGATCAACTACGAGGAGTTCGTCAAGATGATGATGTCCAAGTAAGCGTCCCCTTAGTTTTCGGTTTGAAACGGAGCTCCATGCTGCACAGCGTTAAGAGGCGCGGGCGTTTGCTCCCTCTTCGCTGTAGTCGGCAGCTCCTATCGATCGTAGCTTAAATAATTTAGAAACAGCGTGAAAATTGCTTTGCTGCCGTTGTCGTGCCTTGCACCGTAGTATTTGGACATCGGGATGTGCTCTTAGAACGTGGCAGGAAAACAGTCAAACAATGCAGGGCGTAGCATCACGTGATGCTGGTTGACAGTAGGGCAGGCTCAAGGCCATCGCGCAAGTTCCTCGGCGAAACGGACGCATTGAGAAACGAAGAAGAAGAAAACCTGCCGCTTTGAAGGAGAGAAACATAGAGGTCGTCGTTGCTGCCATTCGGTTGACGGACGGTACACTGTACCTTAGCGACCTTTCGGAAGTTGAAGCGACTGACTGGCCAAACTCCTTAGCTCGTCAACAAGCTGATTTGTTGCAGTTCTGGCTCATTCCGCGAGGCTCAAGCCCATTGTATTCACCTGCGGTGGTCAGCGCGTACGCCTCGACTTGGGGATCTACATGTAGTCGTGCCGAAATCCATGCGCTACAAAGTGAAAGTGGGAGAAGGCAGCCAGAATACTTCCAAGACGACATCCTGCCCAGTCTGCTTTCTAGTCCACTGTGGAGGCAGATGCTTCTCAAGTGCATGAAACAGTTGCAGTTCCATCGCTTTGCTTGCTCGAGACAGAAGCGCCACGACGACACGCGCTGCGCTGGCTCCCCTTCCTCGAGAGCCGATAAACATCAGCGCGTTGGGCGGAGATGCGGCTGCACGACGAGCGTGTCATTCCGAGTTCTCCACTTAGTGCAGTTACTTGTTGTTCTTAGCCGGAGGGTGTCGTCACCGCCAACCAAAATTAGACTCCCTCGAAGAGGTGCGGAAGGAAAAAAAAAATATGCCGCAGATTCCGAAGAATAGTGGGCCGTTTCACACATCCCATACTCAACGCAAGTCTGTTCAAAAATTAGGACACTTTCCCGAAAACTCGAGTTTTCGCTGGATCTCCCACACCGCAAAAGGATCCCAAAGTGGTCATTTCGGTCTTAGAGCTCAAGTGCACACGCGCGCGTCCCAGCAGCTAGCAGCCTCACCGATGGATTACCGTCAGTATCAAGCACAGGATAACTCGATGCTCTCATCGGCGCGTGGCATGGCGCGGCTGAACGGCAGTAATCGAGCGGCCTGGAACGCCATGGACCTGCAGATCGGAGCACAGGTACCGCCTTCCAATGCCCGTGGCGCCCCCGAGGACGGTGGCGCGCTGTCCGCGCGCAACGTATTACTTCGCCAGAAACTGCAAGAGCGCAAGCGTTACGACTCGGCCGACGACGCCATGAAGAAGGCGGCAGCGCGCGCAGCGAACCGGTATCAGAAGCAAGCCCAACCGAATCAGATGCCCGTTCAAGCTCCACAACAGAATCAGATGCCAGTTCAACCGCAGCAACAGAATCAGATCCAGTCGCCGGCTCAGATCGGCCAGTCGGCCTTCTTCAACGCTATGCAGGGCGACAGCTCCAAGCCCAAGCGCAATGTGCAGCGCAACGCACCTACGGCACAGTACGATCCTCCAGGAGGCGCCGAACAGGGCCGCAACGTACTGATTCAGCGCAAACTGCAGAGCAAGCAAACGTTCGACTCGGCGGATTATCAGATGGCCAGAGCGCGACACACAGCGGAGAATATGGAGGACACGCCCATGGAGGACGTAAGTGAAGCCGAGCCCAAACAGGTAGAGGCTGTGAGTTCTCCCTGTGCGTCCACAGTCGCGAACGCGAGCCGCCGTCAGTTCGCCAGCATGAGTCCGAGTCGTGCCGGTAAATACGGCGCGCTCGAGAACCGGAAGAAGCCCAGTCGACGGGATCTGCTGGAGAAGCAAAAGGAAGATTCAGCAGTGACCGAGAAGGCACAGCAAGCGGCTGATTATGGCAAGATGTCGGCCGCCCACGTGCTGATTCGACGTAAATTGAAGGAACGCAAGCGCTTTGACTCGGCAGATTATGCGATGGAGAAGCAGGGCCAGCCCACGGATGTGCCTGCTGAAGTCGTCGCTGGTCCGGTTGTTCCTGGCGAAACAACACCGAAATATGGCACGTTGGGCGCCTCGCAGGCGTCTATTAACCACCAGGTGAAGCATATTAAGCTGTCTGAGGACCCTAGTGGACGTGTTGCGTCACCAGCCAAAACTGTAGTCGCTAATGCTGCACAGGCTGCGTTGGCTGCTCGAGCAGCAAGATATGCTGGACTAAAGGGAGCAGGAGAAGCCAAACCAATGGCGAATAATAGCACCTCACAGGCGGCGCTCGATCGCTACGGACTGGACAAGAGTGTTGCGCCTACGGGGGCTGCTGCTGCACGCAATGTGGTCCTGCAACACAAACTGGCGGAGCGGAAAATGTTCGACTCGGCCGATCACTTTAAGAAGGCCGCTTGAACACGACGCCCTACTTCCGTTGACGTATAACGGGTGACTAGTAAGTAAGTGACGTTTGTAACAGTGATGGTTCGACACGTAGGCACGAAGCAAGTGCCGAGTTGGTACATACGTAGACGGAGATTTGTGTTAAGACGTCTCGGAGCCGCGTTCATCTCGACGCACAAGTACCAAACCCCAGCGCCAGAGTGAGCTTGTTTTTATTTGCATGTGACAGCTTTTTTTTTAAAATAAATTTTGCATGAAGTGAATGACGAAGTAAAGCGCAACAGACAAAGAGAATGCTGCGTTATTTTCATTTCACGACCAGCTATTTTTGTGTTGATTTTCCAATTAACTACTTACGAAAAACTTCTCCCCATGACTTAAAAGTGCCAAGTCTTCGAGGCGTAGGCTGCTGTGGCGCATATGACTTCTACTTCAAGTGCATGTAGTACTCATTACGAAGGCGCACAAAAGTGGTGGGCGAATTATACCAGCTCCTTGTGCCTTGCGCGTTTCCCAGAATTCCTATGTCTCCTTCAGCCTATAAATACGATTCCAAGAGTGCACAATTTTCCTTTTGAGCTGTGAGAACAATCACAACTTGCAACGTACTGTTTGCCATTCTCTAGTGACCAAGTGCAATTCTAGTCATGACCCCCAACGAACGAAGACCTCTGCGCATGGATGTCAAAAGCATGTACCCAAATTTCCACGCCGAGCAGCACAAACACCACGTTCAGGAGAATAGTCCCATGGCAGTACCTCGCAAGCAACGAGAAGGCTCAGGTGGCAGCACAAGACGAGACGCATACGGAGTTACCAGTCGACCACCATCGCGCAATGGGTTATTGCAGAAGCAGCATATTCACGATAGAGAAGACATGTCTGCCCAACGAAATGAAATGTCCAAACGAGAAATTCCTCCTATCGTACCCAAGCGAAGTTCCAACCAGCAGGAAGTAATGGCGTCGACACCTCCGAGTGAAAACGACATGGGGGTACGACCCCCATCCAGACAAGTGGCACTTCGTGGGGAACTAAATCTGACCTCGCCAGCATGGGAAGACGATGCCAGTACAAACAACGTAGGATTATCACCTCGACTTCGCCCCTTACCATTTCCAGCTAGCGCGCGATCGTTGCTGGAAGCCAGAACAGCAAGATTATCCAGTACAATGGATGGCGAATCTCTCCAGGATCTCGTGATGAACACCCGTCCTCGTTCACGTTACGCTCGAAAAGAGCTACACCGCCAGGGATCAGCTAAAACTCTTGCTCGGATCTCCACAGCACCCTCGACACTACGTGGACACCAGTCTCTCGATGGCACCTCGGCGCCTACACGGTGCTCAACACCACTAATCAGTAGTCGCTCAACAGAAAACCTTCTCTCTAGTGATACAAGCCGTCGACCTCCAAGTCGCAAAGCAGTTCAAATCGCCGTCATTAATACTGTCGAAGCAGTGCTACCTGGACTGGAACTTGAAGACGACACAGACGATGACGACACGAATTTTTTCCTAACCGAGTTGGAAGCAGCAGCGAGGGCTGCAAGTGCCGCCGCTGCAGTAAAACTCCGCATACTGGCAAGGCATATCACACTGGGATCGCTCCTGCTCTACGGAAACCCTCCTGCTATGGTTCCTGCTATTCAGCACTTTACAGCAGCATTGAAATCCATCGAGACTACCCAACCGACCCCCACATCGCCATCAACTTTGGCCTTAATATCGTTGCTTTATCATCACCGTGGAGTAGCGTTTCGTGAGCTTGTAGTGTCTTCGACTACACAAACCAGTAAAGCTGCAAAGATATGCATTAAACACGCGTTTGCAGCTCAACGACGTGCGCTTGAGTTGGCCCAGCGAGCCAAAGACACTCGACTACAAGCACGAGCAGTAAAAGATCTGGGCTTGTTGTTCTTAGATTCACACGCTTACGGTCCAGCGTTGTCACACCAGCAAGAAGCGCTGCAAATTGCACTGGAAGAGAAAGATCGAGAGCTCGAAGCCCGCGTGTATGCCAACCTGGGCAACTTAGCTCTCGCTCAACTGAACTTTGGTCATGCATTGAGCTGCCATCATCGTGATCGCCAGTTATGCTCGTCTAAAGTCCTGGACTGTCGTCTGGGTCGAGCACGAGCGCATCGCAACTTGTCGATTGTGTACGCGAAGCTACATCGACGCGATCAGCAACTTAAGCACGAGAAGGAATGGAGAATTGCTGCACATAGTGAAGGTGGCGCCTACCTGTACGACATCTCGAGCCATCCAGACAACAGTGTGGGTAATATTTGCTTGCAGTCTTCAACGGATATCGATCCAGCATTGGTAAATCTTGTCACTCAGAACCTTGCAGAGATTGTACGAGGACTAAATGCTCATCGAAGTCGTGAGTCTACACTGGATAATAGTGACGAGGACTCCTTAATAGCAGCTTTGGAGCAAGAATGGAGCACCGCGGAGGTGGATTTAAAGGCTGCGATAACCGCTGTATCATCAGAAGGCCGTAAAGCAACGAGTGTGCGTGAGATAAAACCTTCTCCAGTCTCTCAAGCTAAATCTCCAAGGAAAACGGTGTCCTCGCCTCAGGTTTCCATTCGAATCAACAAATACAGCGTTGCGGGTCCAAAAACGACACTAAAAAGAAAATAAACGTAAAACAATGCCCAAAAAAAAAAACAACATATTCAACAATATTTACACCATCAGCACCGCGCTTCTATTCGAGTCCACAGAGACTCAGATCCGAGTTCAAACCGCCGTGGATCTCCTTGTTCTTGAGCTTTGTGCGCCGAGTAAGGAACGCGTCGAAGCCGTTCATCCCTTGCAAGTCTTCCTTAGTCATGGGGTTTCCTTCTAAGTTCATCACCTGAACCGCTGAGCCTTCTCCCAGTAGCTCAGCAGCAATGGATTGTACTGTCGCACCCGCCGACCGCCCAACGAGAGTGTTCCGACGAGCCGACAGGACCTTAAGCTTGGGGCATCTCCCCAGAGCAGCTGGCAGTTCTGTCAGCTTATTGTCGTCTACATTGAGCTCCAGCAGCTCCTGCATCTCGCCCAAATTCGAGGGCAACGTCTCTAACGCATTGCCCGACAAGTCCAGCTCCTGCAGTTGAGCAAGCTCCAGTACACTTCGAGGCACCGAACGAAGCCTGTTGCCCTTGAGCGATAACTTGGTCAGATTAGGTGGCAGAGCATTGGGAATATCCTCGAGAACGTTGCCGTCCAGTACCAACTTCACATTTAACCAAGCATACAAATTACGTCAAAATCGTTTAATTTGATTAGCACACGTAAATGGTCAATTTGGTTGTCGCGTACCGTGGTGAGCGCCTCGAGCTTTGACAGACCCGGCAGTGACTCCAGGACGTTGGAGGAAACCTTGAGTGTCTTGAGCGTCTTGAGATTGTTTAACTGTGGCGGCAACTCGCTCAGTTTGTTGCCCGTAAGGTCCAACGTACGCAGTGTCGCCAGTTCCAGTAGCTCTTGTGGCAGCTTTTTCAGCTTGCTGTCAGGTAGCGCCAGCACGCCAGTAGCCTTGGCGGACTTGAGCTTCTGTTGCTGCACGCTGCGGTTGTTCTTCGGCTTGCTCTTGGCCTGCGCGTGCGCCTCGCGCGCCTTGGTAGCCGCATTCCCCATTCTGGTTTGAGAATACTTGAAAATCAAAATGCGGTTAGGTACAATAAAACGATTAAAATCAAAGTTTAATAGTAAATAGTACAGGTAGCCTACAGTTTGTGACTTCCCGACCGACCACTGCGCTATTCAATCCAAAAATAACCGGTACATAGTATTACCCGAATAGATACCGATATACAAAAGTATAGGAACATTTATCTAGGAAAACAATGCTTGCTCCGATTGGTCCAAAATCATCAGTGGCTAGTCTCCATTCGCATTGACATTCAAGGGTCATGATCAGCAGCGAGTCCAGCGACGAGGAGCTGACGACGCTGCACCAAGCGGCCGTGGCTATCGTTAAGCCTGTGCGCAAGGTCAAGAAGGCCAAGAAGCCCGCATCTGAAGCTTCAGCCGACGCCACCACCGATGTTACGGGCAAGAAACGCCCCTCGGACGACTCCACCGACCCGGAAGAGGCTCAGAGGATCAAGCGTGAGGCTCGTAAGAAGCGCAAAGCCGAGGAGAAGGCGGCCCGAGAGGCAGCCAAGAAGCAGCAGCAGCAGGAGCAACTGGACAATGAGCGAGCAGCCAAAGGACGTGGCTACACTTTGAGTATGGCCATTCCCGGTTCCATCCTGGACAATGCTCAGACCAAGGAGCTCAAAACCTATTTAGCTGGCCAAGTAGCCCGTGCTGCTGTGATCTTCCAAGTGGACGAGATCGTAGTATTCGACGATCAATTGGGCAATAACGTTAGCACTGGCGCTCCCAAGAAGCGTGCGCACGACTGCCACGTCTTCATGGCGCGAATCCTGCAGTACCTTGAGACTCCACAGTATTTGCGACGTGCACTGTTCCCCATGCACTCGGATCTGAGCTGTGCCGGTCTACTGAACCCGTTGGATTGCCCACACCACTTGCGTGCACAGGAATGGAGCGTGTACCGTGAAGGTGTGGTGACGGACAGACCGCTGAAGGAAAAGGAAGGCTCGCATGTGTATGTCGGTCTCCAGCGTGAAGTTGTGGTGGACAAGCGCATCCAGCCTGGTATTCGTGTCACTGTGAAGATTGACGAAGCATCCAAGGACTTTAAGAAGAAGAGTAAGTGCGGCTTGTTGCACGATCTCATACGTTTTAAACTAATTTTCTCTTGTAGTGGTAGGTAAGCTAGTGTCTTCGGCCGAACCTCGTGAGCAGCTTGGCGTGTACTGGGGCTACACGACGCGGTTTGCGTCTTCATTGAGCAACGTTTGGACGGACTGTCCGTTCCCTGGAGGCTACGACCTCAAGGTGGGCACATCAGAGCGTGGCAATGTGTCGGTGGATGACGCCGATTTCTCACTGCCAAAGTTCCGTCACGCACTCATCGTGTTCGGTGGAGTTGCCGGTATTGAGGAGTGCGTTGACGCTGATGAGAAGGTTCCTGTGAGTGGTGAGGACTCGAACACGCTCTTCGATATGTGGGTCAACACTTGTCCTGAACAAGGCAGTCGTACTATTCGTTCTGAGGAAGCTCTGCTGATCTCACTCGCAGCTCTCCGACCTCACGTCAAGCGTAGTGGACGATCGCAATAGATGGCAATGTGATGGATTAGCACGAATAAATACAAGCCACATAGCAACTCCAGCTCCCACTAATTCGAGCCCGACGCTGGTCGCTTGGTGGACGGACACTTCTTGTAGCAGTGGAACTTGCGCGTACAGCGTGTCGTTCGGTTCTTGCCGCAGCAGCACAACTCCTTGCACACAGGGCAGCCGCCCTCAAAGATGTGCTCTCCGTGCTCTTCTACCATCTTCTCGGCGCATTTGGCACAGAAAATGTGGGGACATACCGGACACCGCACGTTCTTCTTGCGCAGATTGCCACATCGATGACATGACGCTCGATGACGCATCAACATGTCGACGTAGTTGCCATTACTGTCCACCCGAGGTTGCTGGAAACTGGTAGCCATAGGCGCACCTAACTGTCCCGAAGCAGCGATAGAACTGAGTCCCTCTAAGCCAAGATCGTGCGACCCTGCCTCTATGTATCTCTCACTGCCCGCCATTCCAGGCAAATATCCGTAGTCTGAACTACCATACCCTGGCAAATTCTGATTGGGTGAGTGCTGCTGGAAGCTTGGATCACTGTTAGAGTACGGCTGGTTCTGCGTTGATATCACTAAATGATCCTGTTGGTGGTGGTGGTGTGTAGGATCAAAGTTTGACCACATTGTCCCCATCGGCGCATTGGTGCTGTCGAAGCCAGTGCTTGTTGCTACCCATGGAGACCCACTCATCGAGTCCGGTACTGACGCAGCGGAGTAGATGTAAGTCGCCTCATTAGGCGAAATTGGGGGCAGTTTGCTGTCATTTCCTAGCCCTGAAGTCGGTTGCAAGTCATCAAGACTGTGAGTCGGTAGACACGTGGCTGCAAGTGCTTGTTCCAATCGACCTACGATTGCTTGGGCTTCTCGCTGAGAGCTGGGGGTCCACGTGATCCCACTCACTGACTTGAGTGACGCAGGCAACGCACTCCACTCTCTCAGTCGTGGCAACGCTCTCTGCAATGCACGACGGTCCAAGTCGCTCACTTGAGCGTTCATGCCATTGTTGATCATAAGCAGCTGTCGAACATAGTAACACACTGCTGTCCAGAGCTGCACATTGGCATCCACACTAAGCCAACCAGCAGTGGTCTCGCTCCAGTACTGCGCCAGTGCATCATGTTGCATCTCTAGCAACACAACACTCAGTTGTGCGTCCATCGCTGAAGTGCACGCAAAAAAACCGTGAAACAGCGAGCAGCTCTGTACTCCACCAGCGAAGCGTGCAAACATCCACCCAGCCGGTACCAGCAACGTGCTGCCTGTACTCACCACACACTTGATGCACTTGTCCACTCGCTCAGCCAAAAACGCAGTGGCAAAGTCTGGATCATTTTTCCAATCTCGATATGCTTCAAAATTGTTCGAGGTTGGTGGGATCAAATACACCCACAGCTCACCTGAAGACACCGACAGCCACGTGCACTGGCCTCCAGGAGCTATAGCGAAATCAAGATACGCGTTCGACGCGAGGAATGCACCAAACACGTTAGTGTTGACTGCATTTCCGCTCGAGTTCTCGTTGTTAGACACTACTAGCCCGCTCCAATCCACTTGCGTTACAGCTAATGGAGCTGCAACTTTCATTTGCATGGGCGTTTGTTGCAACTGGAACTCGGCATTTGCCAGTTGTGCAGTATTCTCCTGGTTTGCCTTTGTTTGCCACGCAGATGCAGTCAACTGTTGCCTCGTTTGAGTTGCCACGTCAATAGTCCGCACCACTCGGTTGCTTGTCAATAAGTCGGCAGTGGAAGTTGCGTCGAGCACTGGAAACGGCACGTCAAGCCCAGCAGCTCGATGGCTGTTGGCGGCGATGAGCACAGGCTCCTCCAGAGCGTTCCGTTGCAGAAAAGAAGGCTGGAAATCTTGACATGGGACTAAATGCACCCCGGATCGAGCGTAAATGGCTGCACCCAGTACTCGACGGAAACTTGGTGAGCTTTTCTTGTGTCGAAGCTGCACAGGAGATGAAGAAGAAGCGTAGCCGCCTAAATGGACAGGTAGAGGCGAAAAGGTCACAGCGTCGGCGTCGAACGGATCATTATTGACGGGTTCTAAAATAGAAATTATCAATGAGAAAAAAAAATGTAAACAAAAAATAATAATTGTTGCCAATCATCAAAAAGTGGCAAGATGTGGTTCTGCGGCATTGGCACGTACGGTATTTGACGCCTTCGTGGCCGTGTTGCTGGCACTTGGTGCAGGCAAACTTGGCGACGAGCAGCGCGTCCTGCTCGCTCACTTGAACGCAGGTGCCGTGCAGCCAGCGGCCGCAGAAATGGCACTCGATGAGGAAGGCGGGCGCGCGCGGGTCCACGTCTTGGCCGCATACGACGCAGAGCATCGCGTTATGCTGCGCTGACGGGGGCGGAAGCATCTTGACCGACGTGCGCGCGAGCTGGCAGATTGCAGAGTGGGCGGCAAACTGTAGCTTACTGTTAACCCAGAGTGGTGTAGTCAAGGGAGGGCTGTCTGTCGAGCTGTAGAGAGGGGAGGGGCCAGAGACGGCGATAGGTGTGTTACAGGCGCCGATAACGACCGCGAGGCGATGATGGCACTCCGAGTACAGGTGGCAATATGTCTCGTCGCCTTGGCCTGCCCCTGCATTTGCAGCGGCAATGGTGACAGGCGGATGTGTGTATTTGGCGCTGGTGATGGCAAATTGCCAGAGGAGCGCCATTCATGCTCGAGCTTTGATTTGCCCCATGCTTTTGCACTTGCCGATGCTTTTCAGTGTCGGCGATACAAAAGGGTAAAGAGAGGGCGTAAACGAAGTTGGGCTAGGGGACAAATGGGTCTTACGTGCAAATCTTCAGGGGGGCAACAACGGCGAAAAAAAAAAAAAAAAACTGTTTGTCGAGACAATTCAGGCAGCGAGACTGGTGCTTGAGAGAATTGTTGCAACACTGGTGGTGGCAACGAGGCACTGGGCATGGTACAGCGGTAAGCAATGCCGAGGTGACGGCATGTCTGACTGCTTTTCTTTCGCGTGGCTGCGGTGCATGTATCAGTCGCTGTCTGGGACACTTGTCATAGGGTTTCGCTGATTGATGCCAACTCATCACCGCTTGCTGTAAGCGTCGGGAGAGAGAAAGGAACTGGGCCAGCACAAGGCGAGCACTGCTAAACAGAGTTGGTCGAACTTGTCGCAGTCACTGTTTGGGTGCAGTCGCCGGTGATTTAGGTGCATGAATCAAACTGTCCCTGCGTTTTAGCTGCTTGCTGACAAAAAATTTCATTGCGGTTGAACGCCGCTGCGCTGCAGCCTGAGATTCAATGAGCTCCAAGTCCGATAGTGTTGCTATTGCTACAGACACGAGTAGTCGACTGATAAGGTGATACACATTAGCATTGTTGGATGTTGTAGGTCGCTTTGGGTTGGTGGCTGATAGCGTGCCTTCTACGCTGTCGCCGCAACGATGCAGTGATACTGCGAGAGAATACGAAGATAAGGCGTTTGCGCCTCGGTGAAACGATCGGAGTACTGATGAGGGACGCCGGCCAACACTGTCTGTGGGCGATACATGAACACCCCGGGAAGATTATTCCTACGTTGGTGCCTGCAGGCTTCAAGCTACTCAAAGCAGATGGATGGAGGGCGGACCTTCAAATTCCGTCTTGGTGACAACACTTCGGTAGTCGATCAAAACAGCAGCTCCAGATGATTGTAGGGCTTACCATGTATGTATCTATCCCAATTAAAAATATTTGCCAGCCTAATGATTTCTCACAAAATGAATCATACGTGGTTGATTGGTTAACTACATGTATATTTTATAGCAATGCAACTTTAACTGAGCTACAAAGCCATGCCAATACAAAGTAAAACAACAATGCATTATAACAGTAGCAATGTAAACGTCGAATTTCGATTGGAGCGATTCCCGCAGCAAGTTTGGGATTCTAGATTTGTCCTTTCTTCAGTTCAAAGAATAAATCTGGAAGTGTGGCCCCGACTCCCTTCCGAACTCCAAGTCAAAGATTTGGAATCATAGAAATCATAGGATTCTAAAGGCTGCGGGAATCACTCCATTATTTAACGCAAGAAACCGTGCCGCCCGTGGAGTCTACCGTAGAAAAGCGAGGATTCATGCGATTTTTTTTTTAGCGATTTTCACAAAAGTATCACAAACTTTTTATGCACATTAAATCAATTGGATACACAGGATATTTTATGGTTCTAACAAGTTATGTTTTTAGAAACCACTATAACGATGCCGGAGATTGTTTCGTTGACTAGACCGGTATGTTGTTGCTGCCAAGCTAATAATGGTAAACCGTTGCGCAGGCGAAACGACTCGCCAGCATTGGAAGCTATTCTCCATTCTTCAATCGAACCAACCGGAAAGCATCTTTCGCAAGGTTGGGTCCCGCGAAATCATGATCGGAGGCGCTGGTAGTGGTCATCACCGCGTGTCTCCAGAGGTGACACTGAAAAACCCGAATCCGGATGCCACACTGACGGCTAAAATCCCGACCAACGTCGGAATCAGCAAGAAAGTGCCCTCGTCGAATTCAGTGAACGGTCCAGTGCGCAGGTTCCCGTTCGTCAAAGCTCAAACGCCAGCCCAGGCAGCCCAGTCTGAGGCCCGTAAGCGCGTTGTATTGGGATTGCTGGATTCCAAGTGGTTCACCGTTACGATGCTCGTTGTGACGGTGTATGCACTTTTCGGAGACGACATTCGACTGTCGCTCTTCTCGCAGTCAGCAGACAACGGCTTTTTCACACTGGCCACCATTTGTCTTGTGCTGTTCTCCTTTGAGTTCATTGCCTCATGTTACGCCAAACCGGGCTATGTACTGAGTTTTTACTTTTTACTGGACCTCATCGCCACGTTCTCCGTTCTGCCAGATATCGGGTGGATTTGGAACCAAATTATCGGCACCAACAGCAGTTCGTCAGCTATCAAGGCCAGTAAAGCAACCAGGGCTGGTAGCAAAGCTGGTCGAATCGTGCGTGTCGTGCGAGCTGTTCGCCTCTTTCGAGTGGTTAAGATTCTGAAGTGGAAAAACAGTTCCAAAGAGCCCACTGAACAGCTACAGGAGAGCAAAGTTGGGAGTAAAATGGGCGAAGTGACGGTGCAGCGTGTGGTGATTCTGGTGCTCTTCCTCATTATGCTTCTACCGGTGTTCGATGGAGGCTATACCCAGGTGGAATATCGTTACCAAGACTATGGTCTACGCATCATTCACATGCTCGTGTCTTCGGGTATGACCAAGGGCAGCGTTGCCAACTCCACAGAATACGAACGCCTTCTCTTTGGCTACGTTCGAGACGCTGGAATGTTAATCTACATCCAAATGACCAACGTCACCACCGACGTGCTCATGGCGGATATTGCAGGTTTACGTTTCCAGGATTCACCAGGCTCTCAACACAATCTAACCGTGAACCCGTCGAATGACTGGTCGGCATCTAACTTGCTAGCCACCTACTCTGACGTGACCGATAAATACCGAGATGTCGAGGTTAACATCGTGAAAACCTATGGCTGTTTCAACAAAGACTTCATCGTGATCGACTCGGCAGATACTTCCAGTGCTTGTGTGAGTATCGCCATCTTCGACACTGCATCGTCGAGTTCCTCCTCTGCAGCCTACAACATCCTCAAGACGTTCTTCATTATCCTCGTGCTGGTCGCTGCGTCGACGTCTTTCATTCGAACGGCACGTATCCTTGTGCTTGACCCCATTGAACGTATGATGGACGTGGTGAAAAAGCTGGCAGATAATCCTCTTGCAAGTGTTCAAACATCGAGTAACGATGCTCAGATCCGCAAAAATGCCAAGGAGGAAGGCTTCGAGACTGCGTTGCTAGAACTCACATTGTCAAAAGTTGGCCGTCTTATGCAGGTGGGATTTGGCGCTGCTGGTGCAGATATCATTGGTAAGAACATGGGCTCCGGTGATTTAGATCCCATGCTGCCTGGTAAGAAAATCACTGCTATCTACGGGTTCTGCGATATCCGTCAGTTCACAGATACAACAGAATGTCTGCAAGAAGAGGTCATGGTGTATGTGAACAAACTCGGCGATATCATGCACACCGGCACTCACCACTACTACGGAATGGCGAACAAGAATGTCGGTGATGCCTTTTTATTGTCCTGGAAAATCTGTGACGGTGAGTTGGCTTGCTTCTCGCGGTTTACGGATACCCCGACCGAAGAAGACCGTATCCAGGTGAACCAGTCGATTACTTGTCCTCCGAACGCCGGTGCAGGCACCAAGCTACGTCGTATTACACCTACGGAGATGGCGGACAGTGCACTTACCGCGTTTATCAAGTGCATGATCGACTTGGACAATGCCAACACGGATGGGCCACTGACCGAGTATCTTACCAAAGACGCTGTGGTCAAACGCTTCGGACCTGCATTCCGCATTAAAATGGGCTTCGGTATGCACGTAGGTTGGGCTGTCGAAGGTGCCATCGGTTCACGGTTCAAAATCGACGCCACGTATATTTCTCCACACGTCGAAATGGCTGATCGATTGGAGGCAGGATCCAAGATGTTCATGACGCCAATCAACATTTCTCACTGGCTTGCAGCACTGATATCGCCTGCAGCTCGTCGGTTCTTACGTAAAATGGATCGGATGAGCATCCGTGGTGTTGATACGCCTCTAACAGTGTACACGTTCGACGTCACGGTCATGAAAATTGGATTTGGCACACCTATAATCGACCCAGCAACGGGACTTCAAACTCCTGTGGACTTCGAGAATGATCCCGAATATCTGGAAATCCGCGAAGGTCTTGAACCTGCTTTTCTTGAAGCTGCTGGCAGCGCAGTCGAGGCGTATCTAAGTGGAGACTGGCCGAAAGCACGACACTATTTAACGCACGCTCAGCAAATTCGACCACAGGACGGACCTTGCAAACATCTTATGGGGGTGCTCAAAGGAAACAACTTTGAAGCACCGAGAGACTGGAAAGGATATCGCTATGTTGCAGGGTATTAAGGAAAGTGAACGCTGATACGTATGAATGCATGCACTTGATATTTGCCAACTAAAAAAGTTCGTCCAGTCGAAGTAAGAGATCTGAAAAATTGGTATTAAAGTGGACAACATTTATTATGAACAGCTCGTCTTTCTGCTAGCTACTTTGCACTATTCTATCTACAGTAGTGTCTTTGAAAGTTGCCAACAAACGTTCCAAGCACATACACAAGAATCCCACGATCGCGTCCATCCTTGCCACCAGACTTCGGCGGAGCGTCGAGACTCCAGACATTCAATGTGATTCAGCATGCAAAAAAGTTCGTCCAGTCATCTTGTTGACGACAAGAAGACTTGAGGGTTAACAACTTAGAAGACAATATCCATCGGGGCATATGTCTCGGTATCGTCCTGAGCGACCAGAATCTCCGGGACCTCCGTTTCTGCCGGAGCGGACGTGTACACTGGTGCCGTCGTTTCCTCTTCCGGTGCAGTCGTCCCCTCCTCCGGGGCCGTCGTCTCCTCTTCCGGTGCCGTCGTTTCCTCCTCCGGGGCTTCTGTAGCATCAGCCGCCGATGTGTAGGCCGGTGCCGTCGTTTCCTCTTCCGGTGCCGTTGTCTCCTCTACCGGTGCCGTCGTCTCCTCCTCCGGGGCTTCAGTGGCATCAGGAGCCGATGTGTAGGCCGGTGCCGTCGTCTCCTCCTC